CGACTTTCAATGAATCTTGGCATCGTGTGAGGTCCTTCTGATAAGATGTTAAACCACGCCAAGATATTACAAGTTTATTTGGCTAACGTTTCGGCCTTGTCGCCTTCGTCGGAGCCTGGAAAGTCAAAGATAAGGTGACCTACCGCCGAATGCCATTTCAGACTTAAGAGCAGCTCACCATAGACTAAAGGCGTCTAGGGAGGTCTCGTAGCTCACAAGCACAAACAACTAACCTTAGGAACGCACGGCTAGCTCGAATTCGACCACCGCTAAACTGACTCACTGTGGACGGCTTCAGCTGACCCAGCCCCTCGACCTAAAGCCGATGGCGATTGAAGCCCACACAGGTCAGCGAAGGGGGCGAGCTCACTCGTTATGGCTAGGCATTCATCTTTCCTGTTCAACTTGGGGTTTTGGCGCGTATCCAGAAGGCCTCCAAAGTTTTGCGGGCTGAAGTGTGAGGCTCTCGCGACAAGATCCTGACAGAGACTTGGAACTCCGCCCCTCCGTGCCCGTACATTCTGTGTCCACCCAGGGGGGTCTGAGGCCTTGATTTCTTCATCCCGTCCAGATGTTCCTTAACCCTGGAGCAAAGTGGTCGCCCGGTTTCGCCGATGTATTCGTCCCCACAGAGGGTGCATGAGATCAGGTAGATCACACCTGATGCCATGCAGTCACCCTGCTTCCCATGTGGGCAGATAACACAATGGGGGGTAAGGCAATACCGGTCGTACCATCTTTGACTTTCCAGGCTCCGACGAAGGCGACAAGGCCGAAACGTTAGCCAAATAAACTTGTAATATCTTGGCGGTGGTTTTAACATCTTATCAGAAGGACCTCACACGATGCCAAGATTCATTGAAAGTCGATCATGGATACTGATAGTTGATCAAAAATTGAGAAAAATGAAAAGAAAATTGAGAGAATAGTAAGAAAATTGAGAAGAAGATTAGTGATTACTTCTTGTTCCTCAACCTAAAAAAGATCCTCGTGAGAAGCATATTCCGGACGATGGAGAGCTGAAGGCCACAATTAACGCACATTTTGGGGTATTGAAAAGTTAGTTTCCCGAGCAAACAAGTGCATTGAGGTTATGGAGGACTACATTGAAAAAAAATTTATTCAGAACTTTCGGACTTTTCCTTCATACCTATACCGAGAAAACACTGAACACCCCTCGCATGTGAGAGGAATGAGATTGTTACTACAGAGCGCAACTGGTAGCGATCGGCTGTCAAACGTATAAGGTCGTGGATTAATTCCGGCATGGAAACCTGTTTTTGCATTTTCTAGGGACATGAGCGAAGAAGCTTCTTATATGGCTGCTCGAATGCAGTCGCCTGTTAGAGAACCTGCAGTCAGCTATCTGAAAGTGTAGCCTTTTGTAGCGTGAAAAAGCCTATATACTTCTTCCCCTCGTGACATATGTTCCAAGGGTTTTCGCACTGACATAGTGTAATAATCATGTTCAGCGGGTCGAATTACCCCCAGCAACAAGTTTCTAGACAAACCCTAGATTTTGATCCAACTTCGAAGGTTAAGGTATTCCATGGGTGAATTGGCAACATACTAGGCCTCACCCACCATGCATGGCTATTTCTATGATGGACTATCCACCCACTTATCAGTAAAATGATGAGGAGGAAACTAGCGCCTTCGTGAGTGAGATACTGTTCTTCGTGAAGGGGCTAAAGAGTGAATTCAGCTCGAAGAAGAGTAGACGTTAATAAGCTAGACCTAATGACACAGCGCTGCTAATTAATAGCTTCAACCAACCTAAACCTTTTTTGAAATTCAGTCAAAATATCAGGTTGCTAGAGTGCTGTCGCTAGGAATTATTTGACCCCTGAACAGGAACTCCAGAATGTAACCACACCCATATTGCGCGAAAGTGATCATGTGGCGCACTACAGGCGCCAGTGCCAGTGCAGTTGGAGAAAATTGGAAATTTTTCACATCTTCATTCATTGAATAGCTCAGCAAATTCCAAAGGTAAGTTCGAGTTCAGTGTCTTAAGGCGCTTGCAACGGCGAACACCTCATTGCAAATGACCGGACTGACCTGTTTATTCTCCCTGGCGAGAGAGAGAGCTCAGAGCCCGAAAGGTTACCCCGACTTTGGATTACCACTGAGACTTTCATTGGATTACCAGGCAAATGAACAGATGAGTTAGAAAACCATCAAGTTTCACTTCCAAACTCGAAAAAGGGGCAGTGAATTCCCCGTAAGACTTCCTGAGCAACTCGCTCTCATTCTTCCTCCCTTCCAAGAAAATCAGAATAAGCACTGCGGTGAACAAAAGAAGTCTAAAAAAACAAACCGATTGGCCCCAGGTATCACAGAATACTTCCAGATTCTCCCGAGCAATCCGACTGGATGGATGTTGACAGAGGGTGCGGCCCGACATCAAGGTCTGTAATTACAATGAATATTGAGGGAAATAATACTACGGTGAAATAATAATTTTGTTCGCGTAAAAATCTATCAGAAGGAAGAGCAGTAGATGATAGGGATACTAGACGAAAGATGCTTGAAAATGTTAACTGTAAGAGTATTGCATAGGACACGTCGCCGTTGGGATCCCCAGCGAGAAGGGAGTCCTACTTGCCTTCGGAAAAATGTTTTTGGCTGACTTTTCGCGCTGTACGGGGTCGGTGAGGGGGGGGGCGGGAATTGTTTCGGCGTGCGGCGAGTACTCCCCCCCCCACCCCGTAGGAATGTATTAGGTTGTCCGGAAAGTTCTCAGCGTTTTGTGCACCTATTTTTTGTACATTCACTGCTGATTAAAAACTCATTCTGCCTTGCTTCTCAGTAGCACATCCTGTAGAGAATTTCTTGCGCTATCTGATGGTATAATTGCCGTTTCACCATTGCTTGATTAAAGACAGCGCCCGCGATGGACTTTGGCAGGTTCAGGGGTCAAATTTGTTAGAACAGGTGGCCAATGAAGCACTAATCAAAAAAAGCAGGAAAAAGGTGTGGAAGAGCGTGAAATAAGACCCCATGAAATTTAAGGCATGTGGACGAGTTTCGCAAACTTCTGGTGAGTTCTCCAATACACGTCGCCGCCTCGGAACTCTAGAAATTCAGCGTATATCAATGCCAGCAAGCATTGATAACTGTCAACCAGTCGGGGCGGGATTAACAGGACAGGAGGCGTCAGCCCGGCTCTGTTGACTCCGCCCTCGTCAACCAATCGATTTCGAGCCGCAAGAGTGGGATTTCTGCTGTGATTGCGAACTCCGCGTTCGTTTTCAATGGAGGGTTTTTCACTTTGGTTGATCGCGGACGCTGCCTTTAAACCGGACCCATTTTAAAGATTTTTTCAAGCATGTGAAAAGAGCACTTCGGACGATTTTTTTCTTCGACTATAAATTGGGCAATCCGCAATCGAAACAGCTCAACAAATTAACCAGGTGTGGGGGCCCAATAGTGCTAGAGAAAGCACTGTGCGGCAATGGCTCAACAAATTTCGTTCTGGAGATTTCAGCCTTGAAGATGAACCTCATAGCGGTCGACCTAAAGCAATATCTGACGAGGATTTTAGGGGGATTTTGGAGGCTGACCCATCCCAAACAGTTCGAGAGATAGCAGAAGAGCTAGGGAAAAGGAGAGCGGCGTTGGCCAAATCTACTGCCTGCGGATGGTCTGAAGCGCACTGGGAAGGTGAAAAAAGAACTCGACATTGGGTGCCGCGGGCAATCTCGAGTGACGCGGGCAGGAATCGGTGTCTCGAGGTTCCTTCTGCATTGCTTTTGCGCAGCAGAAACGACCTGTTTTTGGGCCGAATTGTCACCTGTGATGAAAAATGGGTCATGTATGATAACAGGAGACGTTCCGGACAGTGGTTGGATTTCGACGAACCACCGAGGTAATTTTCAAAGCCGAACCCTCACGAAAAAAAGATTCTGGTCACGGCTTGGTGGTCATCGGCTGGTGTGATCCACTATAACTTTTTATCACCAGGCCAAACCATCACAGCAGAACCCTACTGTGAAGAAATCGACGAATTGTACCGAAAATTTTGTCAGATGCAGCCAACACTTATCAAAAGAAAGGGTCCGATTCCTTTGCATGACAACGCCCGCCCACACGTTTCACAAATCACTATCCATAAATTGAACGAATTGGGGGTTGAAGTTCTACCTCAACCGCCATATTCTTCAGACCTTTCGCCAACCGACTATCACCTTTTCTAACATTTTCAGAACTCCCTTGCTGGAAAATACTTCATCAATCAGGACCAGGCAAAAAAGCCTTCGTGAATTTTCGACCACCCAGTTTTTTACTTTGATGGGATTTCTCGACTGCTGTCACATTGGCAAAAGTGTGCTGATTCGAATGGTGCCTATTTCGATTAAATCCGATGAGTATTAAAAAAGTTACGATCGTTTAAAGTGAAACACCCAAAACGCTGAGAACTTTCCGGACAACCTAATATCACCAAGGAAGGTGTCGTAGATGAGCAGTGGTACTTTTTGAGCCTTACTATCCCTGCACCCTTTACTATTCGTACTCCTAGCATTCCAGGATGAAGTCACAAAGTACGGTCAAATTCTGGAAGACGCTTACGAGAATGCCCAGAAAGTCTCTTATTTGAGAAACCGTGATTGGCTGGATTCTCCTTGGGATGACTTCTTCAAGCATCGCGACCCTCTCAAGGTAATATTTTCATTCCCGCTTAGTGTCGAGACAAAATGGTCCTCAGTTCAAGTTCAACTGTTGCAGCTGGTCCCCACTGGTGTTGATGAAGACTCACTAAGACAGATCATTGAGAAATTTGGTTCTTATCCCGAAGGATTCCATTTACATCGTGGTCTGGAAAGAATTCTCAAGGGGCGCAAGCAGATGTTGCAGGAG